AAAAAAAAAAAAAAAAAAAAAAAAAAAACCAAAAAACAAAAAACTGAGAGCCAGCTCTTAAATCGCCCTTCTGTGGCTCACAGCATCTGGCACCCATTTTTACTACATGACATCTGCTCAGTGTAAAAGAGCTGGCGTCAGAATGTCTGGTCATAGAAAAAAAAAATCCCAAATGTAATCAGAAGCAAAAGGACTCTAAGCCTAAGGTTTTATCACATCGTCTCATGCAACATAAATATTTCATTAATTATGGCTAAACAAATGCCACTTTTATTTTCCCAACTTGCAGATATTATCACATCACCGAAGTGATGATTCAAGTGCCAGGAAAGGCAGTTTAAGATAGGGATGGCTCAACAGTGCTGGGCCCAAGGGAGGGTGGAGGTCGAGGGCCGTGCCAGCCTCTGGATGAGAGCGAGATGGCTAGGGGCAGCGACGCACCGTGTTAACCAGAGTCTCTTTGCTCTGGCTGGGGCCCAGGTGTGATAAGGGCTTCCAGGTGCCACTGGGGGCTTCCATTTTCTCAGCAAGAACACCTGCCCCTATGCATCTACCTGATGCAGATTGGTGATGAATATCTGGATCAAAACCCACTCTGGGCACTGAATATCAGCACAAGCCAGGACTCCACCAAGAGAAACTCACGCATCTTCGTTCTGCAGTGCCAGTTTGTGTCTGAGTAGAAGCATGCTTTGGGTGGGGAAGGAGGAGCACAGTTCCAGGTCAGCTAACATGCTCTCCAGCTTGTCTTCTCTTCCCCATAATTTTCAACTATTCACCCCGGTGGGAGAGGCCAAGTTTTACAAAATAAGGGTAATTTTAACCTCCAGGAGCACATTTACATATGCTGTTATTCAAACCAAAGTGATGCAAAACATGTATATAATAACACAGCCTCCCTGGGGAGGGAGTTCAGTGTTTTCCAGTTTAATTTGCCAGATGGGAAGGCTCAGGTAAAGACAGAATCACAAAGCAGCATAATCATGGGAAGGGGGCATTGTTTAGTGGTGAGCAGAGATTGTTTCCCAGCCTCAGCCACTAAAAAGCCACGGAATACTCCAGTCACTGATTGTTAACTTCTCAGTGTGTGAGCTTGAGGAACTAACTTTGAGTTTCTCTCAATCATGATTTCTAACTTAGAGATTGTTGTGGGAGAGTAAGGAAAAATCAAAGCAAAGTGCCTAACACAGCAGCCTGTACACTTGGAGGTAACAACTGGAGGTGCTGAAGTGAATATCATAGTCTCCATCATCACCATCAACCCCAAAGAGCAATGCTACAATATTAGCAAAATTGCCTAACTGACCTTCATTTATGGAAAAAGTATAGACTGAAAATTGTGACTTTTTCTAACTTTCAAAACATATCTATTTCCATTAAATTTCATTTTGAAGCCAAGAAGAAAATACACGGAAATATAACATATTTGTTAAATTTATGGCAAGGAGAAAGTTACACAGTTGCCTCTGAGTCTCTCCCCTTTCACCCTCTTCACCACAGAACCAATCATTCTAGAGTTCACTTTTCATTCGCAAAGTTTTAAGAACTTTGCTGATTGATCCACTCATGCTGTGCTAGAGTGACTAATTCAGGAACTGATCTCCTGCCACAAAGCACTAGAAATCAGGAGAAACTATGGGAGGCGTCTTTTTCTAGACATTAGACAATAGGCAACACAGAACTGTACTAAAGGCAAGAACAGAAGCCAATGAGGAAATCCATATGATCACAGTGGCTTTCTGCCTGGAGGCCCTCTCCAGATCACAGTGCAGGTAGGAAGAATCTAAATAAAGGGTAGCAGGTTCACTGGGTTGAAAAGACAGATCAAAATTTAGGCAAACGAAGGAGAACCATGCCTGCTCCCAACCCAGCTGCCATTGCTCAAGCGCCGGGAAGTAGCCTGGGCCCCGATCCACCGAGGGAAGGAGAACCATGCCTGCTCCCAACCCAGCAGCCATTGCTCAAGCACCGGGAAGGTGCCCCTGAACCCCATAAGCCCACCCACCCCCGCACTCTCAGACCTCCTGACTGTGCAAGTCTTTGGACCCACTCTGCAAAGACAGAGGTGGTCATCAAGGGTATTTTTCTGAGTTCCCAACTTTAAAAATCTTTAAAGAAAGGGTGGGGGAAACCCAAAATAGAATGTTGTGGAGTTCAACCATTCAGAAGGTTGGGGAACTCAATCTGGGCCTTGCAGCCTGAGGTCAGTCAGTGTCATGGGGTTCAGCCATCAGCTAACTGAGATCAGGGGTCTTGCATCCTTGCTCTGTCTGAGCCATTAAATGGTAAATACACTATATTGAAATTTTGTTCACTGCAGACATGTTCTGGACTGCTTCTTGATTTCAATTTAATTCAAATGATTTAAGGGTGATAGACTAGTGACTACCACAGGTGGTCAGTGTCCAAGTTGTGC